TATATGAATTTCAATATGGCGACGAAAGTTGCAAGTTATTCCGTTCAGCAAACCTGGCAGTACACGGAACATTTTTCGTGCTCAACTTTCTTCCCTCTAGCCTATCTAGTTTCGTCTCCTTATTCTTACTTCATGACCGAGAGGCATGGGAATGTTATGTAAATCAGTATGGCAACTTTAAGGCCGAGACACAGACTTTTGCATAACGCTGCATAACGCACAAGACATAAGGCATAAGAAAATCAACCAATCGCAGTATGAAATGAAGGACTCTGATTGGTTGATTCTCTTATGCTTTATATCTTATGCGTCATGCAGCGTTATGCAAAAGTCTGTGCCTCAGCCTTTATGCTGGCTACCCGATCCAGCAGTCTTATATGAGTCTATGTTTATGCTTTGTCATGGTATAAGGACAAAGGTGTGCCCGTCTGATGTTCTCGCGCATGTTGATGCCGAGCGGCCAATCAAAATTGTTAAAAAGCTACGTCATCTCACGCACCTACACTTCCTCCTGTTTTTTTTTTACTTTTTATACTAAGTACACCATGGTTCGCATTTGTAAAATATCAGTGCGTTCCAAAACTCATCTAAATAAAAGCCGAACGATTGATTCCTACCACAAAGTAAGAGAGGAGGAGACTCATCTCCGCTAAGAAAAGTGTGCCAGTTTCATGCGTCGAATTGAGAGGGAATCCGCTGACCGAATAACTTTATTTGAATAGACGCCATTTGCAAAATTAACCTTATCTCACTTTACCTATTGTTTGTCGGGTTTATATGCTTTATATGAAATTTTGTCTGGTGTCTCCCGGTGTTTTATATCTTCATACATGTGAATACATATAACGAGATTGCAGTAATGTCATGTTGAATTTGTTGCTGCATTGCGAAAGGAAACCAAATACAACAAATACGAAAAGGCTACTTCTCTTCCGAAGCATCTTTTTTTCTTCCTTTTTCCCATGTTCGTACATCCACGAATCCAACATACATCTCTGTGCAATCTCGTTGTATACAGGGTTTAACTTAAATAGCGACCACAAATTATATAGCGCTATTTATGATAAAAAATTGAGTCAAAAAGTCCTGAACCTTATTTTGTACAATTCTTAATTATGCCAGTTATTCCCCGAGTTAAACTAATCCAATCGGCTCCGTTCTTTAGACGGGCGCACATCAGTGAGCCGCGGGCGTAGTAGTGTGCGTGAACATAGCGGCGAGATTATAGCGACGTAGCAACGCAGCGCGCAGCTCACTGATGTGCGCATGTTTAAAGAACGGCGCATATTAGATTAATTTAACTTGAGAATAACTATATAATTAAGAATTGTAGAAAAAAATGGTTTAGGACTTTTTGACTCAATTTTTTATCAGGAATAGCGCTATATGATTAGTGATCGTTATTTAAGTTACACCCTGTATATTCACACACATGAAGATATAAAACAAAAGATACTGTGTGGCACCTAATGGGAATCCGAACGCACCGTCTAGTAACATTGGTGGGGACTCTGAGGGAATCCAAACGACTTTGGGTGCCGGGGCAGAGAGAAGCATGAGAGCGGCCGCCGTCCCGGCGTTTTTCGCGACCCCAGCAAAAGTTTTGTCAAAATTTTTGCCGGGGTCGCGAAAAACGCCGGGACGGCTGCTCTCATGCTTCTCTCTGACACGGGTGTGGAATCCGAACGTACCCTAAAGTCTTAAATTATTAGAGAAGCGCAACCGGCTTATGGCAGTATCGCAAAACTACTAGATAATATTAAAAATGTCAAATGGCCAATCATAAGATTGATTTATTCGGCAGCCATTTATAATATCGATGAATCAATTTTATGATTGGCTATTTGCGAGTCCAATCAGGATTCGTAACATCAGTTGCGCTTCTCCGATAATCTAGGACTCTACATAAATGGAGTATATCCATGGTGGAAGGGATAGCATGGTGTGTGCAGTTCGGCCAAACCACGCCCATTTTTGCTCGGCGATGTCGATGTTGGGAAAGTGCTACCAACTGAGAAAAATAAAATTATTTAGCGTTGGCAAGTTGGTCGCGCTGAGTCTATTGTCCTTGTTTCACGCGTTTCCTTAGAGTATCGGAATCTCTCTTTCTATCGTCTGCGACTTGCTCTCTTTACTTTTCTATAGTGCTCTCTGTCATTTAAATGCCCCAACGACCAAAATTGGCGGTAAACGTGGCAGAAGTGAAGTCAAGGCGATTTAAAGTAAAAAGGCAGAATCTTTTATGGTTTGAGTAAATTACATGTTTTAAATTGCGTATTTCTAAACAGTTATTTGTGGAATATTAGTTCTTACATTTGCAGCATTTTCAATTTTTTATGAATCAATTTTATGAATTAAATATGAAACTCATCTCACACAGAGTAATTACATTAAATTAAGAGTGTATGTGTAATAATGAAAACTTATAGTTAGATCGGAAGAGCACAC